TATATATATATATATATATGTATATATATAATATTTAATACCTAACCATCAAGAAATATTATGCCCAATGTATGGTACATCTATTCGTACAATAACAACTTTTTACACTTACTTATTTACGATTGTTCGTTTGTTTAGTTTACTGTACATGAGTAGACAATGGAAAACAAAATATGTTATCACTCAGGAATCTCCGATTCGGGTGTAGGCTGCACTTGCTTTTGAACCATACATGATCGAGCTACTGATTCGAACAACCTGCAATAAAAATTATGTTTTAACGTCTTATATATAGGGATAAAAGTAAAAAGGATAATATCTACGAAACATACTTTTCTATTTCTGGAGCGCAATGGACAAATTCGTGCGTCCAGAACTTGTAAGTAGGATTCTTAATAAGTTCGATGAATGTAATAAGAAGGCCCCAAGGATGAGGTCTGTTGACAATGAGTCTTTCGAGAAGGACCCTCGTAATTTGTTCCTGTATTGCTTCAGCATTGGCTTCAGCAAATAAATAAAGTAGCGTACAACTGAAATAATGTGTATGGCTATTGGGATAGCGAAGTTGATTAGCAATAGCATTTAAAAATAAGTAACGACCTTCGGTATCAATATCAACAGCAAGACTTTGAAATATGTCCATGTGCGCGGAATGCGCGATTGTAGACATGTTAGGTGTATGGCCTTTACTACGTATAAAGGAAATTGCTTGAGTTCCAACATAAAGAACCAAAGCATTCATCAATTGAATGTTATATCTTACACCCGGGTCCTTAGATACTTGTAGATGGCCACGTACTTCTGACACGAATGTAACTGGTGTACGAAGTTTCAAATAAGAATCCAATTCTTTTTTAAAACTGAGTGGCTGAATCATGGAAGCAAAATTAGTTAGTACTCTTGGAGCATGGGCAATTTCTTGAAGCATATCAACTTTTAAATTGGGAGTAAATGGATCAGGCAAGCGCATATTTCTTGGGAATGCGCTTAATATGAGATTTCTCATTTGTATACAATTGGGTGGAATTACGTCACAAAATCCATAATGATAATCGCAAAGGAACTCTGGAAAATCATGAAGTAATACGAGTAATACTCGGAGAGTACCTTTGTACAGAAGCGTTACGGGTTTTGCAAGTTCTGCATTGCGCAAATAAGGAGCAAGATATTTAAATAAGTCGATGAGAAGTTGAGCATACATTCCCCAACATTTTTGTTGGGGAGTAATAGCTAACATACGTCCAATAAAAACCCTGTGGGAAACGAGTTCCAACCAGGCATAACAAAAGCCTGAAGCTTTGGCAGGTCTTAATATGTGTAACGTATGACAGAAGGCTGTCAAAACTTGGTAATTGACTGCTTCTAATACAGGTTCAGGAGCACAAAGCTCTAAGAAGAGCATGATGAAAATTCTATGGTATGGTAATTGTTGGAAATCTGTTCCACGCATTTCGTGATCTTGCAATAATACTCCAGCAACTATTCCAAGTACTTTGTTTAATAAATTGATTTTCGTATGAGTATTTGTTGTATCACCAGAATGTTTTACCAATAGTGCAACTAAGCGCACAAAAGCGTCTAACGAGTGAAAACATTTCGCGCGAACAACTGAAGCAACCGCATTGGTTTCAGTTAATGCACGATAACAAAGGTCTACGCACATTTGAGTGCTTAATTTAAAAAATCTAGTTATGAGGTCATCCGTTTTTAAAATTCCATGGATATTCATTTGATGAACGAACATTCCAAATGCTTTAGTAGGATCACGAGAATTAGTAGGATTATGATGCATTGAAACCCATTCACGTAATAAATATTCAGTTTTCTCCATTAATCCTGGTGGATCATCAAAATCACGGGCCTGTAATTAAGAAGTACAAAATAAATAACAAATTAAAACTAATATCTTTGAGCCTAAAATACCTCAGAATTTACTTACTCTCACCTGGAGAATTCCAGAATGGATATGTGCTGTTGGTCCTGCAGGTGCACGATCGGCTAATACTGCAGGATCATGGTTTGCACGTAAGGATTCTATTAAACTGGTAAGTCTGAAGAGTGGGATTCTATAGAAAAGACATAAAAAGAAACACTGTAACATAATGCAATTTCTATAACATTAATACAATATTTACCCTTCTGGTGGAGCTCTATGATGTGCAATTCTCACAAGTATTTCAATCGTGTGAAACAGATCAGATTCTGTTACATGTGTCGTTTGTCTTTCATCAATAAGGTATAGCTGAACCAACTGCATAGCGAATACAGTTGCCATAGCATTACTAGCATCCATAGCTTGCGCTAAAGATAAATCATACTGTGGAAGACTGATCAAATGAGATCTAAAAAATTAAAACATTCATATAATTTCATATAAATTACCATTGTGTATGTGTGTGTATGTGCATATATGTAAATTATACGTTGTAACTGTTATGTTTTATATGTTTAAATATACCTTATCAAACAATCCACTGCTTCAAAGTTATAACGAAATTCTTCTCTACATTCCGTTAAGATACGAGTGACGTGTTTGTTTGTCCACTGCATACCATAAGCACGTTGATCTTGAAGACATTTCAAAATACGTAAATGAAGTTCTCTGTAACGTATGATTATTTCTGAATCCATCACTCCACTAGATAAAGTAGGACCATCTAGCAATCCTTCGACAGCCTGAAATATTCGTTGATAAAATAAATTTCTTCCTAATAAATATTATTAGTTCCATATATTTAGTGTTATGGAGCAATTCTTACTTTTTTTAAAAGCGTCATTGCAGCACCTGAATCCCTTGATCTTCTAGTATGAATAATAGATTCTAAAAGACTATGAAGTGCTACATGTTGTGGAGGTGATGCTGCTGGGCCCATTGCAGAAAGCAGGACTTCTACCTCGGCTGCTAGTTTTTCTAACATTGCTCCAACTTCATCGTTACTTACAGCAGCTGCGTAAGCAGCTACTTGTTGCGCTGCTACTGCAACGGCTGAATTGGTAGCAAATGGAGCTACAGTAGTTTCCTTAAAAACGAAAATATAGAAAAAAAAATTAATGTTAATGATATTATAAAAAAGATAAATTAAATTTAGAGACAATTTTAAATATAATTATATTAAATTAAAAGATTACCGTCACTGGTTTTGGCACGAAAAGCGCTTGGGTATCTCTTTCAGATAATGGCAAAAATCCAGGAATATTTCTAGCAAATTCTTCATATACCGCCATTTGCTGAGGAGTTACTCCACCGACTTTTAATCGAATTTGTTCTGGCATTCTTTCAGCTTGATATTTAGCTAAAGGATCGCAATATCTTCTTCCTTCCTGTCGTGCAATTTTTCTTAATTCAATTTCATTGAGCAAACGTTTATCCATCTCTGGTATTGCTTTTTCAACAGCTGTTTTTTGTACAAACGCGCAAGCAAGTTCCATATTATCAGTAGCTACAACAGTCGCAGCTTGCTCTGCTAATTCTTTTTGCTGAGCAGTTGTACCCATCATTGCTGTTAGAAAAGCTTGCTTCAGATTGGTACTTATTGATGTTAAAATCTAAAAAAAAAAAACAACTAATAAATCATATATATACATATATGATTCTATCATACATTTCTACCGTAAAAGTCGTTTAGCTTTTTGGTGATTATGTCCATGAACTACACGTTGTCCACCAGAAAATGAAAAAAAAAAAAAAAAAAAAAAAGAGAAAAAGAAAGAAAAGAAAAAAAGTAATTGAAACCAAGAAAATGAACAATGTGTTGATCAACAAAATGGGAAAAATCTTTGATATTAATCAATAATATACTGATAATTTACCTGATCTCTACATGTAATCATGGCCATTCCAGCAGTTAAATTGCGAACCATATGACGTGCTGCTGTTCGCATTCTTACTTCTTCAGGATCTAAAGCAAAATCTTTCCTTACTATTTGTTCGCTAGTAGTTAAAGCTATTTTAATAGATCGATCGACAACTGGATGTATCCATTCTTGTATAGCTCTCTCAACAGCAGGACGAATAAATTGTTTTAAATGAGGATGCGTTTGAAATAAAGGTAACTGAAAATAAATAATATGTTAATAAAGTTCTAATCTTATTGTTAATCATTTTCTACAACTTTTTGAAATACTTTATTTATTTAATACGTACTTGATTATTAATAGCAATATGTTGAGAAATATTAGTAATGCCTGTAACAGATATATCCATGTAACTAAAACGTGGTTCTGGTGGCCCAGTAGGCAAAGACGGTGTCGTGTTAGCAGGGGGTGGTGGTTGTTGAGCAACTATAGTTCCTGCTGTCGTTGGTCCAACTAATTCTTCGATAGGAGCTTGCGGTTGTTGTTGATTGTTTCCTGTTTCTGCCTTTTTATTAGGATGCGACAATTGATAGTCCAAGTTGCGTAATTTTTCTGGATCTTTTAGGTAAACTGCTGGTTTTAATTCCTAAAAGATGAAATAATTATTTTATTATCTGAAAAATACAAAAATAATGTAAAAATTAAAAAATAGTTATGTAAAACTTACTCCAACATCAATACTAAGGTTTTTACAAAGCACTTCAATTTCAAATTTTAAATTCAACTTTAAATCTGGCTCTTGATGAAGTTCTGCTAATACATTCATAATCGCCATTGTCCATGGATTGGGAGGGCGAAAAACACGACTTTTTGCACAACTTTCCAAAACTTTGGCAACGAAAGGTACGACGTAAAGAAGTTCTTGTTGACCTTTGTGATATGCTTCAACTAATAAACTTTTTAAATCAATGTCCACCTGTCATATTAAAATTACAATAAAAATACGATATAACATATGTTGTGTATTTAACAATAAAATTACAATAAAGATACAATATAACATATGTTGTGTATTTAACAATAAAATTACCTGTAAAATAGGCTTATTTCTACCGAGAGTTAACATTCCAAGCCAATGTCCTAAATTTTTTAAAAGAGATCTGTCCGAAAAATTAGCTATTCCTTTATCACTGCGTAATAATACCTGATAAAAAAATTGATAATTATTTAACGTAAAAGATTTATACAGATAAATGAACGCTTAGTTGTAATTACCTTAATGTTTCTGAATGTTTCTCTGGTTACCATTTTATTAACTTCTGGAAGTTTTAAACAATCTAAAAAATTCGAATATAAAGCATGAAAGTTTAATTCAATACTAGCACGTTTCATAACCAAATATTGTGCCATCCAGGGCCAATAATCTTCGGTAACTATTTCTCGAATTTCATCACACTTTTGTTGCAAATTTAATTGACTAAGATTGTTAAAAATAAATGCAGTTTTATCTTGTAACGCTTCAGGTGGTGTTGTAATTTTTTCCTCTTTGTCCGTTGCCACGAGCAATGTATCGATATTAGTTGCATTTGCAATAGAAGGCTGAAATTAAAACCGATCATTCGATTAAAACACATTACCATAATAAATTAATACAAATCATTTTGTTAAATAAAATATTTCTATATAATATATTTACTCTGGCAGAAAGTGAAGTAGTTGGTGTCGTGGAGGGTTTAGCCTGAGTCGTACTTGTTGTTATAGTTGTAGTGGTAATAGTCTTGTATGGCGTTGTAACTGGAGCCAACATAGCAGCTATTGTTTTTGGAAGAACAGGACCCTGAGGTCTAGTAGGAGGTTCTTGTCCTTGCAAACCAAATTCTATATATTCAATTAAATGCGGTGGAAATTCATTAAAGTGCTGAATGTTTCTCACATGTTCGCAATATGTTTGATAATCTTTCAAACGACTTTTAAAACGATCTAGGGCTGTTATACCAAAATAATACATTTTACTACCATCTGGCTTTCTCAAAGCATCAAGAACAAATCTTAATGCTAATCCAAGTGTCATATAGCTATTCACAAGACCCCTTTCAATAATTCCACCAAATAATTGTGCTGTTATTTGAAGTTCTTTATCTGGATATTGAGGGAAAAAACGATATTCTTCGAACAAATTTCGAAGCATACAATTGAATACCTCTCTCTCTCTTTTGCTGCCTGAATCTTGAAATTTTTTCAGCATATCAAGAACTTCATCGATAGATAAGGTTGGATGAGGTGGATGATTGTATATACATTGAAAGTAGCTATTAGCTTCGTCTTCAATTTCTTTTGATACATTTTGAGGCATATCAGGAAACAAATTGGATGTTTCAGGAATTCTTGCTTTTTCTATACCCGTTGGTGGGCCGAGTCTTCCTAACCCACCTATTGTACTTCCAGGTAAAACAGAAGGACCTTGGGTCCCAACCGGACCAGAATGAAGTTGTGAAGATAATGGTAACATTGGAAATGGGCTTGCAGATGGTCCAGTTAATCTAGAAGGAGATCCAGGTGCTGAAACCAAAGGTCCAAGTGCTCCTGGTAAATTAAATGCAGAACTACTAGGTGGTCCAAGACTGGATCCTAACCCCATAGAAGCAAGACTTGTACTTAAATTTCCCAACGGATCCACTTGTTTAGAAGAAAACAACTAAAGTATTACAATAATTATTAATATAAACAAATATAATTAACATTTCAAGATTTACCTACAAGTGAATGCGTACCTGTCCTCCTAATGTCGCAGGATTAAATGGTTCTAAACCTCTGTGTCTTAAAACTCCTGGTGGTGGTGGTCTACTCATGGTGCTTTTATTTAACATTAAACTACAATTTTGTACCATTGTCATTATTGCTTCGGAACACTCTTGAGAAACATTCCTGAAAATAAAAAATTATTCAACAAATAGCTTAAGAACAAATCAAGAAGAAAGATTTATCAAAGAACTTACAGAAAGACATTTACTATTAAAAAACTTACCCAGCACAGACTTGCAAACAAGCAAGCATAGTTGTAAGCGTTTCTTGTGGCAACTGACTTGCCTTGGGCACTGTAGGATCTTCTTTAATACCAGGGCCCATTACTTGTGGACACCGTCTTTGTAAAAATTTAACACAAGCAGCAACAAACACTTCTCCATGGTCTCTAATCTTATCAGTCAACCATTTTTCTAATTTTAAATATTCACGTCGAGACGCCAGACATGCTAGGTCAATAACAAATGGAAATGATTGCGCATTCAACAAGGCTGATAATGCTTTAAGATCTTGCGCAACGTCTAAAATGCGTGACAGTCTTGTCTGATCGTGGTCACCACGTATATACCATTCAGCCATTGCATGCATAATAATAGATTTGACTTTTATATTATTAACATGCCACGCATGATGTAAAATCACCGCAGAATTAGGATGATTCCCCAAAAATATAGGCATAAGTGTACTTAACAATTCTTGTCTAAGTAAAGTTATAGGCGGATTAATTTGTAGTAACGCTAAGACAAGTACGTCCGGACAATGTTGAATAGGCCATTTAAAGATTTCTTGAACTGGTCCATACAAACCCCTCTCAGCAATATATAAAAGTAATTCAACAAAGTACAATGATCTCCATGTTTGTGCTTCCTTGCTATCTCCTTCTGGAGGTGCCTTCAATACATCAACAGTAACTGAATGGTATGGATAATCAGCAAAACAAAATATGTCAGGACACTTCAAAATTTGTTGCACTAAAGAAAATTGACCCTCTACATTTTCCCAATGTCGATAAAAAAGTTCTACAGGAAAGAGTTCTGGAGGATATCCTTGATTTTGCAAACCTAATTTCAATCCCATAATTAATAAATTCAATCCCTGTCTATCTTTGATCATAAACTCAGCATGATCCAATTTCACTATAACTTCGCTCCAAGGTATTGTTGATTGCTAAAAAAAAAAATAGAAAAAATAAAAATATACAAATAAATGTTGGATTCGTGAAAAAATTTAGTTACATACTATTTCTTTCAAAGTCTGAACAAAAACTTCAACATTCCAAGTGGTTGGAGAGATATTTTCTGATGTTTTTTCTTTATTAGCATCTTGAGTAGAAGCAGAGTTTCCCCAAAATGATTGTAAGCCTCCGGCATCGTCGAGATTATTGCAGCTACGTGCCATGTGAGATAAAACTCGAGCAACGCATGCTGGAGATATTTCTCTGGCTCCTAGGCCAGCCAATGCTGATCGACATTCTTCTACGCTACTAGTGAATCCATATCCTAACTCCATGATCAACTCCACCAGCGAAGTGCCATCCTAAAAGAAACATTTTTCAAATATAATAACACCTTCCAATTACAAATATAAATAATAATAATAATTATTATTACGAACCATTTGATTGACAGCCATGTTTAATTCAATTTTGGCTTGCGGAGTTTCCCCGTCGCCTGGATACAAGAGTGGTGCTAGCACCACTGGTACCAGTTCACGGGGAAAATCGCGCCTTAAATTCTTGAGAAATTTTTCCTTAGCTTCAGAAGAAACACCAAATTGATTAGGAATATGAAAAACCTGTGAAAGTATAAGGTGCAAAACTTCTGGCGATGAATCGTGTAATCCCTCCTCGTGATTCTTATTGCTTGTCTCCGAATTAATATAATTTTTAATTAATTCGGGTAATTGTTTTTTAACGTATTCTTGAGACAATGTACGAATATCAATATTTTCTGAATGTTGTAGTACGATAGCATAAGCAACTTCTTGTACCAATGTCAGTCCAAGTACCTTCTTCAGGTGTAAAAAAAACTGTGGCGATGGATTCAAAGTCTAAAAGAAAAAAAAAAGAAAGAAAATTTTATGTATACAAGCTATACGACAAACTATATTATTCTAGAAAAGATTAGATTTCTTCTTCTTTTACTATCAACTTATACAGGGTGTCTGAGGTTTTTCTAGCTAAACAGTGTCAACATATTCTATACATGAACATAAGAAAATAATATTATACAAACATAAATCACTTAAGTCTTCATTAAAAATTACTTTAAGTATAACAATCGACTGGAAATTTAAGAAAAATCCCATTGCTGAATAAACATGAACATTTATAATTTAAATTACTTTTTAATAAAGCTTTTAGTGAATTACATTTATATAACATCTTCTTATTATTTTCGTGCATAGAATACAGTAACACTATTTGACCAGATAAATCTTTGACTGTCTGTATATCAAGACAAAGATAACGCTTGATAAAATATATTATATTATAAAAAGGAAATAAATAAGACATGCAAAAGTAAACCTTCTGTTGATGTAAAGGATGATCTATTGCAAAACAGAAGTTAGAAATCAGAGAAGGCTTGCTGAGCAGATTGGTACACTCTTGCTTTAGAAGCTGTACTTGAAAATAATCCTTCGCACTTGATTCCGGTGGCTCTCCAGTAGAGAAATCGACGTATGAGAGCAAAGAGCGCAGCAAGTGTCGGTCTGCCTCCAGACCTTTCCACTGTACCAACTGAAATAGAGAATAGTGACTGATTTTATAATTAACAATTATTTCTTATAAATATTACTTTAACATGCATATACATATATTAATATGTAAAAATGGAATAAAACAAATATACTGTATATAAAAATAAGTCATGAAATAGTTTACACAGCATCTCTCTCTTTTTCTCACACACACATACACACACACACTCTCTCTCTCTCTCTTTCTCTCTCTAGTCTAAACTACATTTAAAATAGCGCAAAAATATATTTTAAGATCGAATTAAGAAACGTAACCGATGTATCGCGATACTAATGATTGATACACTAACTGAAAAATAAATTTTGCACAAAAGGTATAGGAAAGGAAAGAAAATGTTCGATCGATTGAATACCTATTTAAAAGAATACGTTAGATGAGTATCGTTTGAAGTTAGAAACCAATTTTAAAATATATGAAGCGTGTTGTGGTTATGAAACACGAAAAGAACTGCGTAGATGGGATATAATTGGCTGTATCCCAACGACTAAATTTTCAAGATCATAAAGTAATTTGTAACGATAAAATACGAAAAAAAGTATCGAATACAATGCTTGGAAAGCATATTGCGTTATCATCGAAACGGCGTGATCGCGTTAGAAAAAGAAAGGCGGGAGGAAAAAGAGAAGAAAGAAAAGAAGGAAAAGGAGGAGAAACAGGAGGAGGGAAAGAGACGTACAATGGAACAACAGGTCCTTAGACCTTTTTTCTTCTTCTTCTTCTTCTTTTTTTCTTTCTTTTCCCCCCGTAACCTGACCCTCCGCCCCTCACACTCTTCGCCATCGTCCCCCGCCATTTGTATTTTGTAATTTTAACACTTACAAGTGATATTTCCTTGCAGCTGTCACGAAAATTTTTCTTATTCAAATTGGCAACCAAGTAACTGATTTGTGACAAAGTAAAAGACAACGAGTCCAGGTTCATAGTTCCATGAATACGACCTCGAAAGCTTCAAAAACGTTTGAAGCTTTCTTCGGTATCCACGAATTGCCTCCCCGGATTCTTTCTTCGTAAAAAGCATGAAAACTACATTGGCACAGTCCTGCGACCAACATCGGGATTAATATTTTGAAATACTATTTTAGATCAACTTCATGGCGAGCACAACAGAATAATACTGAAAACTTGACACACAGAGCAATATTATATCACACATCACCACTCACACTTTATAACACTCCACTGACCTCTTCAACTGGTTCTTCTAAATTCCTACCTGAATTAGTTAATATCGATAATTCCAACGATTTGTCGATAGAGCGCACTGTACTGGACCAATCAGAGCTGTCCGACATACCTCAATTGTGCAACTAAATACATAAATATTTTATTTGTTTATTAAATTTTCATTGTACACATATATTTTTTCGTTTATTATTAATATTAGATTTATCTATAGAGAATAAAAAAGAATTTTATATTATTTCTAAGAGTGTTCCTCTTTTCTTGTCCAACAGTAACAATTATGTAATTCCTAAAGATTTTTAATTAGTTGTAAAAAGAGTTAAATTTGAAATTTAAGTAATTAAGTTAATGGTTATAGAAGAATTTTTTTTCAAAATTTCGTATTAATGTTGCATCAATTTGATTAAATCGAACGTATGTGACGTTGTAAAGATTACGCAAAATCATACTTCCGCGACAATTATTGTAACTTCTGGAACGCATTTCGAGCATTGATAGAATCATCCGTGGGGTATAAAATTCGACTTAATAATGGTAACTTTGTGAACGTTAGAAAAGAAGTTACTGGAAAAGACATAGATCTACTTGAGGATTGCGTGATAGATTAAATAAAGGCACATTTTATATCGCATTAAATAAATAAAATTATATTGTCAGTATGTCTGACTGGGATACAGCACCGATTACTTTACGAAAACGTGCACCTAAAGCATCAACATTAAAATCAGAACAGGTATTGTATTAAACCTGTACTGTGTAGAATATATCAGAAATATATTACATTCGATTTTTATTGCTGTTTATTTAAAAATAATTGTCTAGGAAAGATTAATGGGGATTTTTCAAATCTCATCTTTTAATATCAATCTAGCCAAGTAGTACCACATTAAAACAATTGAAAAAGTTTAATTTTTTTTTTTAATTAAGAACGACAGATAAACAAAAGTAGTTATCAAGGGAAAGAAAATAATTAGAAATAAAAACTTCTACGTTTGACCTAATCTTATCTGTACCAATAACTGCGTCGAGCCTAATTTAACATCTTTTTTTCTTCTTATCAAGAATAATTATGTAAAAGAAGTTGTATTTACAGGCAGTGAATGCAGCGCGACGTCAAGGTTTTGCTGTTGAAACACAGGCAAAATGTAAGTTCTTTTTTTCCAAGATCCCCAAAATATCTTCGAGCCTTTAAAAAAAGATGAATGAAAATCAAATCAAATATTCTAATCAATTTAGACATTTAAAACATACTAATATCATTCATTTATCAATTAAACAAATTCAACAATTTTATGACATTTAAAAGAATAATATTATTCTTGTATTGTTTGTAAAAAAAATCCATTGTTTTAAATGTTCTTTGATTTATTTTTTGTCAGGGGGTGGTGGTGCAAATAAACAACACGTTACCACAAAAAATACTGCTAAATTAGATCGTGAAACTGAAGAACTTAAGCATGATAAAATTCCTCTTGATTTGGGAAAGCTTATACAGCAAGGTCGACAGGGTAAAGGATTGTCGCAGAAAGATCTTGCTACGGTAATACTGTGTAGCTCAGATATATTTGTTTATATCTGCAAAATATATTCTAAAGTTTCTATTAAAGATTGGTTTCTATGTGCATCATAAAAAAAATAATACTATTATAAACACAAGAAATTTCAAGTAATTATAAAGTATGATGATGTTAAAACGTTGAAGTAAGTCGTCATGTTATGGTGGGTTTGATTTAATTAGCTAATTATTAGAAAACAAAAATTAGCTAATTACTTCTAAACGGTAATCATTTATGATGTCTTGTGATTATAACTTGAAAAAAATCAGCTATTATATTAATATTTGTACTAAGTGACTCGTCGACGTATTCTTTGTTTGTAGAAAGTTAATGAAAAGGCGCAAGTAATAAATGATTATGAGGCCGGTCGTGGAATCCCCAACCAAATGGTTATTGGTAAAATAGAACGAGTGCTTGGCATAAAATTGAGGGGAAAGGATCGTGGGAAACCGTTAATAGCCCCCGGGACGAAGAAGTGAATCTCGGGGGAGTTGGAATCTTTACTTTCTATCCTTATATATTGCTCCAGCAAAAATACTTCTAAGAAAGACGGTAGAAAAAAAGTCATTAAAATTACCTATCTTTCTTTCCTTTGATTATTTTGATATTAAATGCTACTGTTTGTCTCTTTGCTCTGTAAAATAAAACAAGTGATATACGAGTATATATATATATATTAGAATATCATAATTACAAATTCAATAAAGTTTATTCAGTTACCTTTATATAAAACATTTATTAAATCTATTTAAATTATAAATTACTAATTGCATTACATGTTAATTAAATAACATTATAAATCAATGATCAAATAAAGTTATTAATTTATGATAGAATTCCGAATAGTAATCAATCATTCGACTAGCATTAAAGCTGTATATGAAATAATCAACCATTAGATATTTTACACGTATACATGTAGTAAAATAATACTAAACTTTTCTCTTTATGTATAACTGCATATTAATATTTGTAATTATGATTATATACAAAAAATTGAGGTATGTATGAAAGCAAAAACTTTATTTATATATCACCATAATTAAATAATTCATGTATCATATTCAATATTTTAATCCTTTCTCAATGGGAAGCTATCGCTGGTTATACCATCTTTAGTAATAATTTTTATGCTTATCCCATCACCAGTGTAAATATCTCTTTCTGCAGCAGATATAAAAACATCTTTCAATACTAATAATGCTTTTTCTTGTGTAAGTAATTCTGGTGTAACACCTTCTTGATTTTTATATCCAATCTGAGAATCACATCAAATAAATATAAATATTAAAAAAGATATCTTTTTAATTTTGTTTCAACCTTCATAATATACCTGATTATCAAGAAGTGGTTGTAAAAGTGCACCAGCAGATCCTCCAGCTCTGTACATTGACTTTTCGCAATGTCCTATAGGATCATAGCTGTAAACGCATCCTTTACCATTCTCATCTAATCCAGCAAGTACGTTGCTCACGTAATAAGGAAAAAATCTTTTATAGTAGAGCATAGCTGAAAGCATTTGAGCTACAGCTGGTGTTGTCATCTTTTTTTGATGTTCATGCTCGTACATCTTTTAAAAATAATTTTAGTAAATAGTTCTGTGCTAAATTAATATTTTTACATATTATAATCTTAAATTACCTGCATACGAGCAGCTAGCAATCTAGTCAAACTTAATGTGTCACACCAACAACCAGAACAACCTAAGACAGTTGTATCCGACAAGGAAAACAATTTTTCCTGTTCCCTAGTACAAATAGAGTATCCTGTACTAAGTCGATTATCTGCAGCAATTATACAAAAATCTTCACCAGCAAGAGCTACGACACTCCTATAAAAATTAGTGTTCAATACTTAATTATTATGAAACATTGTACTTACTATAAGTATATACAAACAATATTAAATAAATTTTAATCTATTTATGGATGTTATATCCAAACGAATTAATATTAAATAAATTACATTTATATTTGAATTTTGAAAATTATTGACTAAACAATATTAGGTTAGATTTATATTTTACCCTCCATTATCAGCGTAGGGGCTGAAATTTAGTTGTTTAATTCCTTCTCTTTCATAATCAGGCAAACCTCGTGACATTCCATTCGGAGAATAAAGAGCCATATTTTTAAAGAAAGAAATATTAAAATATTAAAAAGACTTAAACACCGACTGTGGATGACAATACACTTTCAATTGAACTGAATTCTTACTGTCGCACACTCAATGATATCGATAATCGTTGCGTCAAAATGTGCTCATTTACTATTGGTAGTAGGAGTTTCGTATCAGCCATTCACATGCGGCGAATACAACCTAACCAAGTGTTAAACATACCAATGAAAACTGTCAATTATGATATAAATAATTCTCAACTGGGTTAAAAAATAATTCAATCTTACAATAAATCATTTATTTTAATATGCCAACAAATAATATTGCTTACTCAAATATTAAAAAATTAGATATATGTTGATAAAATTTCGGAGGGACAGTCTTCTTTAATTCTGCCTTATCTAACCACTGATATTTCAAATCGTTTGCAACAGATCCATTTACATATCGAGCTAAATAATAAAATACTTTAGCACCATACTTGCCGCTTTCTTTATTCGGTTCTAAATATTTATATTTATGGAAACCTATAGGTGCATTTCCATAAAATTTAACCCTCAATTCTGTACCACAAAATTCTTGCAATACTCTCTCCGCTGCCTTTAACATTGTAAAAAATTTTCTTTATATTATAGTTTTATTAAATATATTTATATATAATAAAAATAATAATAAAATAATGCTTACCTGTCTCATCGTTTCACCTTCTTTTCTAATACCCTGAGGTGGAACCCAGGATGCATCACCATTGATATTCTGTTCTACGAGTAAAACCAACGTTCTGTCCAACTTCTGCTGGAGACTAGTCTTGTCATTAGATTTATCATATTCTGAAATGAAAAATGTATTAAAAATATAATAAATTAATTTATTGAATTATTACTGAATTCATATACCTGTAACTTTAGGTGCGAATTGAAAGTTTTTTAATTCTTCTTGCCACGTATCTTCAAATTCTTGCATTGTTTGTAAAGAAACAACATCCACATCTTCAGCTTTAACATCCAATGGCTGCTCTTTCTCGAGTTTTTCTTTTTCTATTTGGAGCTCGAAATCTGATTTCATGCTATTTTCATATTCTATTCTTTTTAATAAATTATAATAATTTGATTCTAATTCATTCATGGGTTTTGTTATAATTGGATGACGTTCAAGACATACAGCGGTTAACAAATCCCATTTGGATTTATTATTTTTAGTTGTGTTTATTAATCTTTTGCAATGCCACTGAAAGACAGGAATTGTATTCTTAACTTCTCTTAAAATACCTGTAAAAAAAATTAATTCTATTACAATATATTATTTTAAAATAGAATATTATTAATATATAATTTTATTTACTTAATGAAACATCAACTTTCAATGATGCTTTGAAAGCCTGCTTGAACATTTTTTTTTCTTTTAATATAACCTAAAAGATATTAAATTTAAATTTAATTAAACGTGTCTAAGTAAAATAAATATGATACACTTTTTATGTTAGGTTTTTAATTTAATCTTTTGTAATTATATTTTTCGATAAGTATGCTATGCTTAATTCGGAATTAAATAAATATAATAATAAATTGAACAGCCAAAAATATGGCCATCAAGTTGACTTCTTAAAACTAGATGATACTAGAGGCTGAGGCATTAAAAAGTTTAGTTATCTACGCTTTCCTTCAGTTACAAGACGTTAAAATTTTTGTTATTATTATTATTTTTACTATTATTATTATTATTATTATTATTATTATTATTATTATTATTATTATTATTATTATTATTATTATTATTATTAATTGGCATTATTATTGAAAGTTTATTGCCGCAAATACTAAATCCAGCCAGGGTTTCGTAGGGATCCTGTAGGAGTGATGCGCCATTCATATTCAGCTCATATGCCATTGACTGAAAATTTTGGGGGACTGCTTGAATTTATAATAATTTTTTCGTGTAACCTATTCTATTTTAATATAAATTTTTAATTATCATTAAATATAGTTCTTTTTTTCTGTATTTGATGCAATTCATTATTTCATAATTATTTCAATGTTTGAATATTTCGCGCGCAACACGTGATTACACGAGTTCCTGTCCCCCAGCAATGTACATGGCGCGTCCCTCCTATAGGGTCCCTAAGGTGACACACATGGACACGAGTCGCTTTCATAGTGTGCCACTTCGTGGCCAACCGCCAACTTCGGTTACACTCGGCTTTCCTCGACATCCCAAACACA